TGGTCAAGGTCTGGAATACTCTACCTGACTGTGGTTTCTTCCCCAAACTCCAAAAACTTTAACCTTAGACTGTCTGTTATTGACCTCACCCCTTTCCTAAGAAGTCTGTAAGGGGGCGTGCATAAGTGCACCTACGTGCCTACAGTCCCTGTCCTATTGTTTCTTTTTTATTCATATCCATTTCATGTATTCATCACTATGTTTATACTTATACCTATTATCTAATACTTGCTTGACAAATAAATTAAAATAAAATAGAGTGCTGCCTTTTACAAACCACAATTTTACTACAGTACTAGTACTATTTATTGCTGAAGGAAATAGTAACTATGACTTAGAGGCACATTATTTTTACAATTCAAGTTTAATGTACTGTATAAAGTAATTGATTATCCACACTTTTATCCCATGATGTTGATTAATACAAGAGTGAAAGATGGCTATGACTAGAATAAGTCCTTAGTAAAGGTAGTCAACTTATAACAATTGAGCCCAAAATTTATGTTACTAAGTGAAACATTTGTTAAGTTAGTTTTGCCCCATTTTATGATTTTTCTTGCCACAGTCGTTAAGTGAATCACTCCAATTCTTAAATTAGTAACATGGTTGTTAAATGAATCCAGTTTCCCCATTGACTTTGCTTGACAGAAGGATGCAAAAGGAGATCAGATGACTCCAGGACTGCAACTGCCATAAATGTGAGTCAGTTGTCAAGCATCTGAATATATATAAATTGCACTTAACAATGAACTTAAGGACCACCATCAGTGAACTCTTGGCCAGTATTACTTGGTCTGTTGTATGGATGCTTGTGTGTTTTTAGGAGGCGGGAAATTTTGGCGGCTGGGGAGGTGTTTGGGGATTGTCTCCTGTGTGTGCAAGGAGTCTGGTCTCTGCGTGTTATGTGAATTTCGTTGTATGTATACTGTATATATATGTACAATGACAATAAAGAATTCAATTCAATAAACCACACGACTATGGGAATGCTGCAACAATCATAAACGGGAAAAATGGTCACAAGTCACTTTTTTCAGTGTGATTGTAATTTTGAATGGTCACTAAATGAACTGTTGTTAAATCGAGGTCTACCTGTACTGAAAAAAAAAAGAGCTGATTAATTCCAATAAACTATTTTTCTACAAACTCAAACGACTGGATTTTAAAATAGGGCATTATTTGGTTCTGGCTTATACAATCACCAAGTGAACTATTGGTTCCCCGCAGCGAATTGGGGACTTGCATTTTCCGGGCGCTGAGCTGAGGGATCAGCATCCGCCATTAACTTCCCTTTCCCCACCACCCCGCCCAAGCGCCTGGAAAAAAGGCGGGCGCCCCAACCGACAAGCTCCTTCTCCATCTTGGCTCGCGCGGAAGAGGAATTGTTCTCACCTCCCCCTCTCCGCTCCCCCCCCCCCATTTCCTTTATTTTCTGAGCGGCGAAACTCCTTTCCATCGCTATCGCTCTTCCTTTTAGCCAAGCGGAGGAACTGCCTTTTTTCACAAGCGCATCCCAGGCTGAGGTGGTCGCAGTGAATTCCCTTCCCTCTTGCTGTAGTAATCCTTCCATGCCGTGAGCAAAAACGCTTTCTGTCGTGGAGCGTTTGAAGGACCGCAGCGTTCGGTGGCTTGGTAGCTCCAGAGTTTCCCTCTTCAGTCGATTTAACGCATGCAGATTTGTAATAACGCTGCAAATTGGTTGTCAGACAAAGCAGTCCGCTTTCTTAACTGTTCCAATCCGAATCTTTTTTTTAAATTTATATTTATTATTTTAATAGCATTGCCTAATCCATTAGTAAAAACATGGGTTCATAGCTATTAGCGCTTACAGTGCCTCGTGAGCATCTCTTTTATAATATAAAGCTCATAGATTTGAGGACTGCTTTAAAATTCCTTCTGTCTTCCTAAATGAATATTATTCTAAAAGAATGATTGCACAGATACTAATATACTACCATTTCCTTTAAAAAAGGGTCTCAAATGTCCTAGAATGTCATTTATAGAGGATTGTATTGATTGATTGGTTATATGCCACCTATATGGTCAAATTTTTACCAACCACACATGGGTTGGAAATTTGAGATAATTTGGCCAAATGAAATAATTTGGTCACATGTCTTCATATGGAAATATTAAATTCTAACTTTGTATTATTTATTTAAATAAACCTGAAGCTATTTCTAGTTTGTCCTGGGAACAGTTTTATTTTTTTCCTAATCCCTCTCTGATGAGAAATAAAGAAAGTAATATTTTTGATTCTTGACAGTGATTAACAAATCTGTTCCAGTTGCATTAAAACATCATAGAGTGCTCTATAAAAAGGAGTAAAAGTGTTCCTGATTAGGGGAATTTATTACTACATAGTCTAAATACTTATCCAGTTCTAACCATATAATGAGTAGATGGGAAGCTTTGATGCCCAATTTATAAATGACTTGACATTCCATTGGATATTTTACTGCAACCATAAAACCTGTTATGTAATTAACTAAAGAGACTTCTTTTTTATAGATTTTAGAACTGTTAATTGTTGCAAGACAATAAAAATGTCATTTTTCCCCATGAAAGCATTCTACTGTAGATCAAAGCTTTCAGTGAGGTACTCATTAGTGATGATGTTGCAGGTCAGTGGTATGGGGGTAGTGTTGGACCATGTCTTCTTGTGACTACATAGGGACTTCAAGCTGATGTCCTACTTTACATTCCCTCCTGGCTCTGCCAGTCTCTGTCCTACAGCAATTAGATAATGAAAAATTTGCAATTTTTCACCTGATATTTTATTTTGAATCAAATGTTTATTCTTAAAGCTAATGATTCTTTAAATATAGGAATATATCTAATTTATGTACTACCAAACTTGCACAAATCCTAACAATTTGTAATATAAAAATATAATGCACAAAATGTAAAAAGTAATAATAAAATTAAACTTGAACATTAAAATAAACTATAACACATTTTAAAATGTGATGGCACCAATCCATATTAGGGCATATCAATTTTTCAAACCCTCTAGAACAACTCCATTTAACAGATGTTTTAAAAAGATAATGTGATCTCTAGAAGAAGACTATTCCAAAAAATTCCCCTCGCACATATGTGCTAATTGTTTCCGGCTCTAGGGAGTGGTGCTCATCTCCATTATAAAGCTGAAGAGCCAGCACTGTCTGAAGATGTCTCCGTGGTCATGTGGCTGGCATGACTAAACGCTGAAGGCGCACGGAGCACTGTTACCTTCCCACCAAAGTGGTCCCTATTTTTCTACTTGCATTTTTATATGCTTTTGAACTGCTAGGTTGGCAGAAGCTGGGACAAGTAACGGGAGCTCACTCCGTTACGTGGCACTAGGGATTCGAACCACTGAACTGCCAGCCTTTCTGATTGACAACCTAGTGTCTTAGCCACTAAGTCACCTCATCCCTCTCCACAAAATAGAGCCCTTAACAGAGAAATTGCTTTAGATCGCTCCTATATTTCATCTCTAGTAGTTTGGGAACCTACATTCAACATATACAACCAGCAGAAACAAATTGGATAGGAAGAGATGGTTTTGCAGATGCTAGGAACCAACCATTTAGAATTTTAAAGGGTAAATCCAACCCTTTCAATCTGGAAACCTATTAGAAACCAGTACATCATCCACAATATAGATGGTATCGTTATATGGTTACATTCTACACCAATTCCAATTTTCAGATAGTTCTCAAAGCCTATTCTAGTAGTCTATCGTAGTGGTGATGAGGGCATGAATGAAAATATCATTGCCAGGTATTTTCACTCCAGGTTTCTGTGTATACTAGATGAAGCTGAATTAAGGTTCCTTGATATCCTAGCAATGACTTGGAGTCATGAGTTGCTCTTTCAGGAGGAGTGCTACCCCATTCAGAGTAACTGCTAGAACAGACAGGACAAAATTATTATTATTATTATTGAACTCTTATTACTTACTCACTTATTATTTCCTGTCTAGATCTTCATAGTTTCCATGTACAGAATCAAGATAGTCCTGACATCTGTAAAGATATTCTTGAAATCTGGAAAGAGAAAGCAAAACATGGAAAATGAGGGATATTTCAGCCTTAAGAAACCAGCAATGCCTCAATATAGCAATTTATGGAAGTGGGGTGGGGGACAGAGAACACACCTTAATGTATTTGTTAACAAATGACAACTAAATTTTCTTAATTTAGTTTTCAAAATAAGTAAGTTATTCATTTCTTCCTGAAATTTTACACACACACAAACACACACATACTTTCCGAAATTAAATTCATTATATGTGAATCTTGTTTCTTTGGATATACTTTGGGGGTTGACAATATCTGGCTCAGCCCAGGGTGCAATATATTACTGAGTCTAATCAGCTTTCTGATAATACCAGTCTTTGAACTGGTGGATAATTAAACAGAAGAGGTAGAAGGAAATCCTCTGTGGGACCATCAATGGAGTGCCCAAGGGAATCACCCAACTAAAGCCATTCCAGCTCTATTCAGGTCTGAACTCTAAACTAAAAACAGCTCAGATATTTCATTGTCTCTAAAAGACTTTACATCTGGAGCCAAAGCATCTTTTCAACACTTTCCCTAAAAAGGAGATGTTAGAAATAGTGGTGATGTATTAATTAGCAATGGTTCAGATTTCTTTTTTCTTTCTTTAAAGTAGATACAGGGATTTGACACATAGAGGCTATAGATATGTGTAACCATATATATGTATAGCTCAGAGCAAAGATCATTTCCAGAGGCAAATGTAACATCCTAAGATTTCCTATGTATGTTCTAAAATAAAAAGTTAGCAGTCATTTTATATAACTAAAAATACAAATTTCAGAATCGGTTATACCTATGAAAAAATTCAGAATCACTGACCATAGAGAGCCAGTTAAGATTTTTCTTTGACTTTTTTTAAAGAGAGAAGAAGAAAGGTCAAGAATAGGCTGAGCAAATCTTAATAAAAACATCCAAATTTTTTATTAAATGTAACTTCCTAATTTCTTAGCAATGCCGTTGGACAGCATTGGTATCAGCAATAAAAATGTCATTTTGAATGCAGGCCAGTACTCGGAAGAACATGTTCTAAAATGCACATTCAAAGCATGTGACCCAGAAGAAACAGGTAAAAAACATTTTAATATCATTTGGAAGCACTTAGCATTTAATAAAAAGCTCTTTATTTTGCTAAGAGTTTTTGAGAATGTTATTTTATCAAGGTACTCCAACAAAAAATCTCAGTTAATGGAGTTTGATTTAATGGTAGTCCTTGCTTATCAAGTGGCCTCTTTAGCAACTGTTTGAAGTTACGATGAAAAGGTAACTTTACAATTGGTCCTCACACTTACTTGCAACATCCCCATGGGCACATGATCACCACTTACGTGCTTCACAGCTAGCTTCTGACAAGCAGAGTCAATTGGAGAGGCTGGCAGTGAAATCTCAAGTCACTGTGACATCTCACTTAATGATGATGTTGCTTAGTGACAGATTTACCAGTCTCAATTGTTAAGGGACAGAAAGTCTCAGTTGTTAAGTGAATACTATCTGTATGTTTTTAGTCTTAGATCTTGCTAGCCATTATCTAAGTATATCTTCATTCTATGAGGGATATAAGCTTGAAGAACAAATAAAACCTAAAATGCTGAAGAAACTAACATAATTTTTCATGCTTGTGTAGTATAGAAGCATATACAACAGTCCAGGCTGGCAGTGATTTTTGATGATATGCTTTGATTATATGTTATATCTCCTCATTCCAACAACTAGTGAATTCTATAGTAAAAATATTTTAGTAAAATATTTTTGTAAGAGGGTAGATAAAAGGCACTCAAGGACTTAAATCATTTTGTCACTAGACTTAAAGTATTTTCATAACATCACTCAGCAGTTGCTGAAGTGATGTAGGGTCTTTCTGATAGCTCAGTGAAAATGCTATCCACTGTCCTTGAGCTGACAAAAAGTATGCTAACATAAATACCCCATTACAATCCTTATTCTGCCAAAGTAAGGAGGTTTGTGAATGGGTCATCTTTATTTATTGTAGGTCCAATTTAAAGAAACTGGATTCTCTTATTTCATTTTCCTTCCCATCAAATTTTTACCTGCTAGCAGAAGAAATATCTACCAGTCACTTTTCTTTTGTGTAATGAGGAGAGTTTAAATGGATACTTAGAATCCTCTCACTGGTCCTTTTGCAATCGTACTTTTGAACCTGTGACCTGTCACATTATTTCTTAACATGTTCTAGTGCGATTAAAGAATGCTAAGCCTGAGTTCAAAAATAGCCCAGTTGATAGGTAAAATACAGAAGAGAGATCCAGAGTGAAGTGGGAGGGAGTGATGACAACAAGCAAACCCAGTCTTCAACTAGTGCTGCAAGGGAATAGTCAGGCCTACAAAAGGGACTAAGTTTAGGAGTGAATTCTGAATTTATCTGTTGCCAATTGCACCCAATGGTAGTTAATAGCTGGATTAATCTGCATGTACTAAACACACTCAGTACCATAGCACCAAAGACTTAGTGGTTAAAAAAATAATTAAATGGGAAAAATATGGCCACCACACAAAACTTAAGCATCTAAAAAAACCAATGCAGCCCTGGGCTACATCCACAGAAGGATAGCATCAAAATCATAAGAAGTAATAATACTGTTTTATATCACATTAATGAGACAGCACTTGGAATAGCATGTACAGTTCTGGTCACCATGATACAAAAAAGATGCTGAGACCCTAGAAAATTTGCAGAGAAGAGCAACAAAGATGATAAAGGGTCTGGAAGCTAAACTGTATGATGAACAGTTGAGGGAGCCTGGTATGTCTAGGCTATCGAAGAGAAGGATTATGGAGGACGTGATAACTGTTTTCCAGTACTTGAGGGTCTGTCACAAAAAAGAGTAGATTGACTTATTATCCAAAGTACCAGAGGACAGGACAAGAAGTAATGAGTGAAAGTTTGATAAAAAGAGATCCAACCTAGAAGTAAGGAGAAATTTTCTGACACTGAGAACAGTTAATCAATGGAATAGGTCAAGGGTCTTCAAATACAGGTTTAAGGCTTGTGGACAACTCCCAGAATTCCAGAGCTAACATGACTGGCGGAGGAATTCTGGGAGTCCACAAGTCTTAAACCTGTCAAGTTTGAAGACCCCTGGAATAGGTTGCCTCCTGGATTTGTGCCTGTTCCACTACTGAGGCTTTCAAAAACAGGACAATCATTTGACAAGGAAGGTATAAGGCCTTCTGCCTTAAACAGTAAGTTGGACTAGAAGACCTCTAAGGTCCCTTCCAGCCCTACGGTTCTGTGTTCTATGAAACTACATTTTGAACAATAATCTGTATTGTGGTCAGTGTTGATAGAACTAATAAAAAACATACAGTAGAATCTGGCTTCTTTCCATTTTAAACCAATCTGTGCAGCACAATGCTCCTACTTTTTCCAAAGTATGACAAATATGTAAGATCTGACATGCTATTGAAAGCCCTGGCTAGGTGATTAACACAAGAGTGGGCAGATGGGCAGATCACTCTATGGAAGTGTCCAGTTTCTCTCAGCCTGTTATAAAATACTCATGGAAGGCAGTACTTAGGAGGGAAGGCGCTATGCCCACAATAGCCTAAGATAACCCATAAATGCTGGGCAGAAATGCTGACCACATCAACAACAAAAATACTTTGAGCATGCCAGATCAAATCCAAGGGGGAAATGTTATTGAGGTAACTATGGAAACACTGCTGGAAGCATTGAATCAGCTAGGATGCCAACCTCATGAAAATATAGTAGAAAAAGTAAATTGCATATTTATGCCATCATTGGGGCAAGTGAAAAAGACTCATGTGATCTGCCCCATAATTAACATTTTGGACAATAGTAGCTGAATGGCTGTATAAAATGGGAAAAATTATATAGCTCATAAATGAGCATATTTTTATCTTTTTTTAAAAGAATTTTTTAATTAAATGACATGTATAACATTAATGGAGAAAAAACAATAAAATATAATTAACAGGGAAATGATGTATTAAACTGAAAATATTTTAAAATTTAATGAAAATGTTTAGGGTATTTTAGACCTTTCCCTATTTCTATACTGAGATTTCAGAACAATGTTTTGCTGCAAGTAATTTTCTGTGTTCATAAAAAACTCATTTAAAAAAATGAAATAAAAATTATTCTACATTAAGTATTTCAAACAAAACTTCCGTGAGTTTTCTAAGATTATTTTTTGATTTACAGAACAGCTAGTTCACATAGTTTATGGTAGTGGTTAAAACACCACCATGAGACTAGTCTTGCCTTCGGCACAGAGTGAACTGGTGAACTTCGGCTAGTCATTCTCTGCCCTAGGAAGGAGGCAATGGCAAACTACCTTTGAAATCTTGTCTGGATTTTATACTCACACATTCATATTCCATTTTATTCTGATAATAGGACAGGTTTCTGTTTTCCGCATCATTGAATATTTACAAGAAATGACAGGGCAAAGCTGTGAAGACTGGGGGCTTCAATCTCTCTACAAGAGATTGGACCCTGAAGAACAAGGGCTTACTGTTGATTTTTTCACCTTCTATACTGTTATGAAAGATTGGATTTCAGACTGTCAACAGGAAGGGTGAGTATGAATAGTATTCAGAAGTTGTTTTATAGTTTGCTCTGATACCAATATTAACTTTCCCTAAAAAATCCATTTGTATTGTAAGAGTTCTGAAAAGTTATGATGTTGCGATATTATATTAAAGTTAGGAATGATAAAGCTTTGTTTAACTTTATGCGCATGTCACCAATTTCCAAAGGCCTTACCTGGCTAACAGTGAACAATAAACAACGAACATTTAAAATCCTCCAAAACCAGGAACATACAAAACCAAAATCCATATAAATAAGCCTCATGGGCTGCAAATCTGATCTGCGTATTATGGAGTAATTCCTCTATTGCTAAAGAAAAGTTTTTCAAGTTTTCTTGAAATAAAAGCAGGGTGAAAGTATAATGTTGGCCTATAATCACTGCAGTCTCAGTACAGGTATTAGCTGTTCTGTTTGGAAATGGAAATGTTGAAAGTTGTAATACAGCATTTCTGGAGGGCACCTATTTAAGGGAGGAGAATAAAATGATGCTTGCAAATATCCTGAAAGCAGGCAGCTAAATCTCTTGCCTTGAATCTCAGAGAGACTGTTATTGGAGTTAAATGTTGCATTTTTGGAAGCGTGGACATTAGCATAAAATTACAATGTTTAAATTTGTCGTCAGGAGCTATTTCAAGCCAAGAAATCAAAATGATTCAAATTAATGGCATAATTATGCATTCTGAAAATTGAAAGAACTGAAAATAATAACTATTACTGCCCAAATGGAATAGGTAAAATAGGGTGTTTTCAAACTTCTTGCTCGTTCTTGCTCATCTGTTGATACTTCTGGATTCCTATTTCTGTTGAATATGGCGGAATATACTGCATGAGAATACATTATGGCATATGGATTTGTTTTATTGTGGCATTTTTTATGTTTCTTTGCCCACAATTTAATAAGGATATATATTTTCACCAAACTCCTCTGCAAATAACCTCTTTATTCCAATAGCAAGTCTCTCCTACCCAAAGAGTGAACATTCTTGAATTGTTCATTAAATGTGTTCTGCCCTTACAGGCAATATTAATTCTGGTTTCTTTATTATTTCTGTTATTTCATCTATGTTTCTGGGCCTGTAGCTGAATATAGGTAGTCTTGAATTAGAACCATAATTGAACCCAACATTTTTGTTGCTAAGTGAAACATTTTTAAAGTAAATTTTGCCCCATTTTATGACCTTTCTTGCCTCATTTTTTAAGTGAATCAGTGCAGTTGTTAAGTTAGTAACACAGTTATTAAGTGAATCTGGTTTCTCCATTAACTTTGCTTGTAAAGTCACAAAAGATGATTATTTGACCTCAGGACATGCAAGTCATAAATATTTGCCAAGCATCTGATTTCTGACCATGTGGCAATAGTTGTAAGTGTGAAAAACAGTCATAAGTCATTTTTTTCAGTGCAGTTGTAACGTTTAAAAAAATATTTTTTAAATTTTATTTAAAATACATTCAATTTATCTTTCATTCAGCGGTGTTATACATTTTTTTATATTTTTTTG